GAAATGAGAATAAAACTGTCCTTTAACACCGCATTCCATCCTCAGACCGGTAGACAATCAGAGAAAATGATTCGCACACTAGAGCATATGCTCTGATCTTGTATTTTAGACTTCGAGGGCCATTGGGATGATCGCCTACCTTTGATAGAGTTTGTTTATAATAACAACTATCAAGCAAGCATCGTTATAACCCTATATGAGCCATTATATGGTTAACCCTATAGGTTGCTGATCTGTTGGTAAAAGGTGGACAATAAAAAATTATTTGGCCCAGATCTTGTAGAGGAGACTACAGCCAAAATAGTTAAAATTAGGAAGAACATCGAGACAACTCAAAGCGGGCAGAAGAGTTATGTGAACACTCGAATGAGAGATTTGAAATTTTAGAAAGGTGATCGAGTATTTATTAAGGTCACTCCTTTCAAAGGAATCAACAGGTTTGAAAAGAGAGAGAAATTAAATCTTCAGTTCATTGGGTCATTTGAAATCTTAGACATGATTGATACGTCCGCTTACAGACTAGTACTACCTTCAGAGCTATTCAGAATCTATAATGTGTTTCATGTGTCAATGCTACGCATGTACAACCTGAACCCCTTTTACATCATGTCCTATGAGCCCCTTTCACTCCAGGAGGATCTATCCTATGAGAAGTTACTGGTAGGCATTATGGACCAAAAGAGAAGAGTGCTTCGCAACAAAAAGATTATTTTCGTCAAAGTCTTATGGCAGAATCACACACAGGAAGAGCACACTTGGGAGTTGGAATCAAACTTCAAGGCACAGTACCTCCAATTGCTTAATTAAGAGAGAAGGCGACAAATTTGATGAACTAAATTTTCCTAAGAGAGAGAGAGTTGTAATATTCAGGCCTGAAAATTAACTTGGGATGATTTTTTTTTATTTTTTAAAAATATATTAATGAGTAATTTTAGTTATTTTGATTTAATTTTTATTGAAGATTTTGAGAAAAATGAGTTATAGACAAAATTGAAAGCAATTTTGTGAAAAATGAGTGAAAATTTGAATTCGGGGGGTGTTTTTGAAAGAAAAATTGAAAACAGTGAGTTAAAATATATAAAAAAAGTTCGGTCACGTAGGATATTCCAGTTAGCAGCTCCGGCAAACCGGAGCACGCTGCGTGACATCCCCGCTAACATAGGTACCACGCAGGAAGCCATGCGAGCGATCTGTGTGCCTAGCGATCCAACGGCCCAGATACATTTTCTCTTTAGACGTGATTGGACGGACAAGATTGATCATGATGGACGACTTAAATTCGCCCATGCCATCAGCCTAAATGGAAACCATCTAACGGTCCTCCTCACTCCACATCGACACAAACGGACGGCTCGGATCGAAGAGGATAGGGTATTTACACTCTTCATCGCAGGGGAACCCAACCCTAACCGCTAGCCATTCGCCAGAGAAAAAGAACCAGACACTAGAGAAGAAGACCAGCCTCTGGCCGCCGCCGCACTAGAGTCATCGCCGACCATAAAAAAAGGTAAAATTTTCCCATTCTCGCTCAGAATTTGACTCCAAGTCTCCCTTTGGCCATATCAGAGCAAAAGAGATGGCAAGTGAGCCAAAAATTGCAAGAAAAGTCCGGTAGAGCCGCCGCGACCAAAACCCTAAAATCCCTCCGATGAGCTCCTTCCAGTTTTCTGTTTTACACGATTTTTTGATCATTGTGTTCACCGTCCCCTTATGTGTAGGTTAGACGAATAAGAAACCCCAGCCGCGAAGAAGAACCGACGAAACCACCGCACCCAGAGACCCCCTTTCCCCTGCTGAAAAGTTCAATTTTTTTAGTTTTTGGCCAACCAATGCTTCCTAACATGTTCCTTCACAGAGACACATGTAAAACCAGTCAAAACTTGCTAAAATCGGCCAAAACTAGCCAAATCGAGGCAAAGTGCCACCGTAAACGATAGAGTCGGCACCGGAGCATGGCAGCACTGCTGTGCCAGAACCCTAAAATTTGCCAAAAAGAGTTTTTGACACCAATTTTTTATTTCTAGGGTACGTAACAAATATTTTAATTTTCGCAGAAAAAATTCAAGAAACTCGAGCCCTGTTAGGAAGCATAGTAAGTAGTACAACGTTTCGAAATACCGATTTGGATGAGAATCTCTCACCTTATTCTCTGTTATAGTAAATTGAGGATTAATAATCAATAATTTTGTATTTTTTGAAATGAAAAAAATCCTAAAAATAATTACATATCACTAGTGGAGTCGAAACTAGTTAGTTCATATTTGTTCTGATTCCCTGTTTATTTTTCTGTACTGCATAAATTGCTTACTATTATATTGTGCATATTAAATTGATAATCTTGATGGTATTTTCGATTATTTGGTTATCTAGTTACTTGGTTATTCGGTTATGTTAAACTATATCGCTCATTTAAATGTTGTTTAAAGTATTATGTGAATATGTAATGAGATTTTGGTATGCGTTAGGTAGTTGTTTGCACGATGAGAATCTATAAAAATGAAAGCTTACTAGGTATCTTGGGAAATGGTGAATAGACTTGGTATATTGGGAACCCTAACATTGACATTACCTTAGTCGAATGAGGCTGAAAAGTCACATACCGGAAGAGTTTTGAGAAATATGTTCAAGTCTCATAACGGACGGGGTATCGAGACGATGGTATTTTTAGCACCCATTACCGGACTGGAGTATGAGGACGGCCGGGTTAATTATCAAATCTAGATACAGGGTTCACGAGTAGAGGAATATCTTTATAGACCCCAGACGTACTAGTAAATAGGTTAAAAGGAAGAATACTAATTTTATGCACGAAATTAAAATGTCATTTGATTATTTCTCTTCATAGGTTATTTTTGAAAAAACTTATAACGGTAAGTATGAAATTAAACGTTTTAGAGTTAAATATATTTAATTAAATCAATGGCTCCATTAGTTATTTTGTAATTTTTACCAACCTTCAGTTTTTTGTATCAGTGATTAGTGTGATATTTTTAATAGGTTAGTGTAACTTACTATTTTATTAACAATTTTATATGAAGAAGACTAAGATCTAGATCCTGATTAGTAAGAGAATTATAAATAGTTCATCTCCCGAACTTCCTTCGAGTGCTAGTAAAAATTAATCCCTAAAATATCTATTTATTTGTTTTAATTATTGTTTAACTTTTTTTATGAACCAATATAGAATGGACATTCTTGTAACTCTATTAGACATTCTAATTTACTGTGTAAGGAATATAAACTCTAATTTCATTATTCGCTTCTGTATTTAGATAATAAATCATTTCTTTTTAGTTCTCGACTTTTAAAAAAAATATTAAATATATTCAAATTTTTATTACAACTTGATTTATTGAATTTTAAGAAATCAGCAGAATCAAAAGATAAATAATAAGATTTATTGAACCAAACAAACTTATTGATCCATGGATTGTCCGATCTGATTTTATTTGAATAAATAAACGTTAGTTACTTTAGGTGGAAAAAAGAAATTATGTCATCTTGGTACTTTTCCATCTGTATGAATTTGATCCTTGTGCAACAACCATTCCACTATTGGAGCTTGTTAGTGTTTTCTCTTTATATATATATGTATATATATATTTATAAGTTTCGCCATTTGCACAATAAAAAAAATAAATAACATAAATATTTTTTTAATGTAACGTTGGTTATGGATTTTTGTCAAATTCCCTTTTTCCTTGTAGTGATTTAACAAAATATATAAATAAAAAAATTTGCACCTACGAATAATACGTGATGCAAGATAATAGGAAATCAGTTTTCTTTTTACGAGTTACATGGGCAGAAAATTTGGACTCGTGTTTTCTCGGTCATAAAAGATAGCTAAAAGTTTAGTGAACTTTTTAAAATGATATTTTATTAATAAAGCAGACAAAATATTTTTGTCTGGTAGCATACATATAAAAATATTTTCAAAATATAATAAGTGCAATTACATTCTACATAACAAAAAATTTTAAGATACGATGTAATTTACGTTTCATATTAAGTAAATTAAAACTAATTTTTAATAAATATAATTTATTTTTTTTGGAATTAAACTTTGTTGTTTGAAAAAAAAAAAAAAAAACCTTATAATTTTTTCCAGAACAGACAAATTTACTTTTTTCAATTGAAAATTTTAAGAAAACAAATTAAAAATATATCACCAAACACAATTTCTAAGAGCAAGTTCAACACGTCTACCATAAATGGTGAGGGAAAGCCACGTTTACTTTTCTCGATTGAATTTTTTTGAAGAAATGCAATTAAAAAGTATATTAGCGAACACAAGTTCTCAAACAACAAGTTACTTGCACTCTTTTTTTTTTTTTTTTTGGAACAGAAGAACACCAAGAAAGCCAAACACTGTACAAACACGAGAGACTAAACTTACTTTTTCGCAGATTATTTAATTTAGAAGACAATTATATATGTATATATATATATATATATATATATATGTGCGCAATGTAGAGGAGGATTCGAAAAACACGCATGCATACTTAAGTTCAAAACCATAGGGGAAAAAGAAAAGTCTAATGTGAACCAAAAGCCTGACCACGAGGTAAAAAGATAATCTAATCATGCACGAGGGATAGAGAGGTAAAAGAAAATCAAAACAACTTTATAGACTTTAAATAAAATCTCCTGAAAATTTAAGCTCAGAAGAACATTATGAAACATAAGGAAAACAATCAAAGAAAGAACCAATAAATCCCTGGCTAGCCACCAGCACTAATGCTCGATGGTTATTTCCGATCAATTAGAAGTTATTTGAGTCCTAACCTTGACATGGGCCATAAAATTATATTCATAAAAGAAAAACAAGCCCCTGGCTGATTCCAATCTGTAATACAGAATTATATATTACCCACATCTTTTAAGTGCTACTGCTACAATTAACAATTTAAGTACAAAAGTTAATTACCTGCTAGTCACTGCGAAGAAAGGTCAAGTAGATATCATGCGCGATATCATCTGCTTCTCTAATTTCCTTTGGTAATCATTGAGAATAGCGGATTTTGTTGACAGTATCCAAGAATAATACGTCGAATGGCAAGAAATGGACATTTTGATCTTTTCAAGTTTCTTGGTACATCTTTGTACACGGCTCCCTGTCAGATATTATCTTCTGTACAAGTACTTGGACAAAGGGAACCTAAGGCTCCTTGCCACCTATAAGCAATTTCAAACTCAACTTTAAGTTTAAGGGATAGGCAGCAAACTGAAAACAACATAAAGCCATTTCAAATAGAATTTACATTGTTAGATGCTTGAAGTATTACCTTCATAGCCAATTCTTCAGACACCGTAGAACGGTATCTGATCGAGCCCTCTAAAGGGCAGTTTCCTCCTTTAGTGACAAAGTTAGCATTGCAGAGGCTGGACAATTGTAAGAGTACATCAGACATTAACTCACTACTACTCCCTTCAACTCCTAAGCCATTGCTTCCTTCTTCCTCTTCACTGGACGAATATTCTGCCACCGATGTAATGCACTGAAATATGGCTAACAATCTCTCCAAGGGAAAAGTTCCAGGCCCTCTCATAAGTAATTCCTGTTCGGCAATTTCCTTCTGCTCCATTGATTTTTCAGAGGCCCTGTACCGGAAGAAAGCAGAGTATGAGTACATTCCATCTAACCACTGGGACAGGAAAACAAAAATTTCTTGGCAACCAAATAAAACAATTTCTTTTTTCTTTTCTTATAAACTTCTTTCCAGAAGTTCACAAACTATACACACAATCGACAAATAACCAGAAGTTCACAAACTATACATGATAAAATGGATACATATATGCATATATGAAAGAGAAAAAGAATATCGTATTTCATTCCACGTACTTTCTTTTCCGTTTGTGACTGCTACAGCCGCCAGTTGAATCAAACATTGATGCGTCAAGAGTAGCTGGGTTTCTTGAAGCAAGGAATGCTGAAATTAGAAGATACTTTGCAGAAGCAGACATATGGAAATCTACCTTCTCGAATCCTTCACAAATTGACTTCTCAGCATCGTTTTTCCACCTTGCCTTCTTGTTGCCTTCAACTTCAACAGAAGTCTGGGATGGAACCCTGAATATTCCATTCAGAAAAGGAGTAATGCGTGGTTGCAGATGGGCAAACAGCCTTCTCTTCATGTCTTCATTGGGCACAATTCCCAAATCCTTCAAGGGTTCACAATACACTTTATACAATGATGAAAAGACAATAGATAATGCATCCACTCGTCTCGTAACTCTACAGAAAGGTCTCAATACCGCACTGTTTAAAAAGAGAAACAAGAAAAAGAAATTAATATAAGGAAATAATAACCAAAACGTCACCAAAGAGATGAAGCAACTTGTTATCTTACTTGAGAAAGGAGGAATACAGCTTTCTGTTTGCTTGGTTTCTCATGAAAATTTCACGAAGAGCGTCTTCTGTGTAGTCAGGAAAATAAACAGGTATTGGTTCTATGTACCCCATACTCGAGTAGTATGTATCAGGTGTGGTTCCACTAACATAGATCAGACCGACTTCAGGCATCTTCAAGATGTTATGAAGATTAAAGAGGAAAGGCAACATGGTAGAACTTTTATCCCAGTCTCTAACAAGCTCCAAGTTGTCAAATATCAAATAAATCATCTTTCCGTTAGGTCGTCCTGCCAACTTGTCCGAGCTCAAATTCACTGAATTGCTGTTAATATTATTTATAATATTAATCAAGGCTTCACGTAGAAAATTAACAAAATCAGCCGGCTTCTCACAGCGCTTTGCACTAGAATAACCGTTTGCATCACTCTTTTTGTGAAGCAAAAGACGATCCAAGATTGACTCAAACAAGATTCGAGGACTGTAACATGAAATACAGCTTGAATAGACAAAAGGGCGTTTGAGATGCCTGAATACCTGGAGAATGATACTGGTCTTTCCAGTAGAAGCAGCTCCATATATAAATATAGGAAGCATGGGGGAATTCGAGGGACCCAAAAGGTGCAGAAGCTCAAGAATCTGGGTGCGTCTACCTGGAAAACTAGAAAACAAATCATCCTTATTGATGGGCTCTTGATCAAATGCAAGGTCGTTAATTGTTGGAACATTGGATATCCTTGTCTTTGATGTCTCTGCAGCATTGATAGAAACAGCAGCAGAAGAAGACCTGGTTGTTCTTCTTGTAATTTGTGGGGTTCCCTCGTTTGACATTTTTCATATGTGTGCAAGAATCATATTTTCTGGCAGATTAAAGAGCCCTAATGAGAACTAAAATTGATATCCAGTAAACTATCAAGGACATTCAATACACAAAAGAAAATTGGTCAAGTTAGACAGAGCCAATTAACCAAATCCAGCCAAAACCAATTGCTATTCTACAAAACAAATTATCCAGTAAATTTGTCAATCAAAATCCTTTCAACAGCAATCCGATGGTCCAAGAGAGAATAAAACACTTGAAAGTTGATATCCAGAATAAAACTCCAGGAACATATCTAAATATAAAAGTCTGTTCTGAAAAGTAAAACTCATCCCTGCAAACAAACCTTCAAGTTCATTACATGAAATTGAAAGAGAAAAGAGAGAATATAAAATCATTTTGATAAGCTAACAAGAAATGTGATAATAAATAAACCAATTATAAAGAACCAGGTCCGCATCCAAACATGAGGAAACCGGATGTTGCAAAACTATGAACATAAAAAAGTAAGCAAGACGTGCAGAAATAGTAAGCAATTAAACATGGAAATTTCAGGACGTTCAAAAGATACATGTTTTCTGTTTATTATAACCATGAGCCTATCATCACATTCACTCTTGCCCATAAATAAGAGTAAAAATGCTGAAAACATCCCAAAAAAATTTCTTAATGAGTTATGAATGAACAGGTGAAACGCTTGTTTGAATAGCCAACACATCCTTTCTCATTTATTAATAAAAGATACAATAGGCATGAAATTGACAGCACAGTAGCCACTGCAAATTAACTGTGAGGAGAGAGACTATTGACCTAAGACAATTCCTCAAAAGATAGAAAATTAACAGGAAATGTTACAGAAAGTACTAGGCTCTTACCTATTCATCAACTCCGATTATCACAAAAAAGGAACAACAATCTCTTTTTTAAGTAAAAATACATATGCTTTACTGATTAAGTGAAGCATAGACACCCAGCAAGGAGTTCAAACTATTTTTATATCTTCTATTTTCCCCGATTTTAAACGCAGTGCCCAGGAATAAATTATCAAGGAATAGCAAGAAGCGGAGAAATAAGAGGCTACCTGATTAGAGATTCGACTGGAACGATGACGCAGAGAGAGAAATTGCATAGAAGGGGAAAGTTTCGAGCAAGGAAAGGAAACCCTACGATGTGGTTTGAAGAGATGGAGATGGAGAGCAGAGGAAGAAGTGTTCCCGCCAATGAACTTTGGTTAGGCTTGTTCAGCGGGAACACAGACCTAGGGGTAATTTTGTCCAAAATAGTTTTTTTGGTTGGTCGTCCTAAGGGTATTTTGATTATTTTTAGTTTCTGTTTTTCAGTTTTCTTTTTAGTATAAGGTGTCGTTTAATATTAAATTTAAATTCGTAAATTTGTAAAAAAATACAAATAGCAATATCAACGTAAATTAGTATCATTGTTTTGGGGTAAATACGCATTTGGCCTATCTTTATAATACCTTGATGATTGAGGCAGTTATAATTTATAATATAAATTTTAAAAATATTATTAAATTAGTTATTTATTAAAAAAAGTATTTTTAATTAAAAATTATTTAATATTTGATATAATTAGTTATAAAAAGTTATACAACTTTCAAACAAGAGAAATTGTTTATTCAGTAAAAATAAATTTCTTAAATTTAAGCGATGAATTTTTAATAAAAATAAAATCATTTTTTTAAAAAATTATATGTAATACCTTTTAATTTTTAATTAAAAATTTATTTTTATTGTTACAAAAGATATTTCGCATTTTATTTTTTTAAATTATAAAAATATTTTTGAAATGTAAAAGTTAAGAGAAACACCCTTAAATCTCAAAAAAAAAAATATTAAGCTCATATTAGATTTTATAAATAATTGAAAGAGCACATTTTGAAATTTAGTTCCTTTTAATAAAATTAAAAATATTGTTTTTTAATTTCACATAAAATTATATAGGATATCAAAGTTATTGTTCTAAAAATAATTTTTTCCGATTTTATGAATAGATTTATTTAAGATTATTTTTAAAATAAAATTCAAAAGTTTTTTGTGATAGTTCAATTTCTATATATATGTGTGTGTGTCTCAAAATCCTCGTCAAATGAGCTTTATTTATCTGGCAAATGCTCACCGCGACCTCCATCCAACTCTAGTTTCAAGCCTTTTACATATGTCGTTCTTGATTACAAAAGATTAGCTTTATTAAATATTTGCTCGTGATAGAGACGTCTCGCTATTGGAATGTATTTTCGTATTGCAATTCAAATTATGCAAAATTTTCTATATAATTTAACACATCATAATTCAGCTTTTTATTATTTACATATCTAAAGAAATTCTTATGAACTAAATAAATTAAAAATTAAAAATTATGTATAAGATAATAACTAATAATTGTATATAAAATAATTAAAAGTAAAAACTGTCTAACAAACAATCAAAATATATAAATTATATTAAGACCAAACAAGCGGCACGAAAAGCACTTAGTTCTTCCCGGTTTCAATATCAAAGTCCAATCAAACATTGATCAGAAGCTCAAACTCTTGGGCCCAACATCAACTAATTACCGCATACAATTTCTGAACCAAGGATAACTTGATACCTCCAATACATCATAATAAAACACCTTCACCAAATCCAACTGCTACTTCCATCAAGAAACAACAATGGGATAGAGCAAATAGAAGGGAACCATGTAATGTTTATAACCTGCTTTGGTAAACGACATCAAAAAGTGCATCACTTCTTTTCATGGCCCACCAGTTGTCACAACATACGGCAATATTCAATGTGGTAGTGACAACCACTTGCAGGATCTTGCCGGAACTTCCTGGTTCCCATGGGCACAGACCCTTTTGGCACCTATTTCTAGCTAGTTTGGCAGCAAGACCTACTGTAAAGATTAATGAACCCCAACTGTAAAGTGTATACAAGCATCATAATAACAATAATAGCAACATACATTTTAACATGTAGCTATGTAGCTTTGACACAATGATAATAGCCAACCACACAACAAACTAATATTAACACCCAGAAATCTCTCTCTCTCTCTCTCTCTCTCTCTCTCTCTCTCTTTTTTCGTCATCATCTTAACTCTCACTTGAGGAGCTGCCTCTGATAAAAGACCCTCGTCCGTGGCCACCCACAATCACATCCTTAAGGCGAGATATTGGACCCAACATCCTGCATGTCTTCTGCCAATTTGACCATGTAAAGAATGTCAATATTGATTAACAGCAAGTAATAGAAGGAAGATCTTCGTATTGCCATACATGAAGAATCCATAGTAAACACAACTATTTCTCTACCAGTCATCCCTAAATTTTCATGTTTACAACACAAAGTATGACAAGAAGAAGAGGATTCAGAAAGATAGATCAACCATATTTAGAAAAAGGAAGCAATCATTTCACTGATTCATATCTAAGATTCATATTTAGAAAGAGGATTTCACTCCATATGTTTATAGAATTTTAGGTATGGAACACTGCCAACCTTGTGACAGATAATCCCTCAATTAATCTAAGATTCGGGCGACAAGTAGAGTGAGCTTATAGTAACTACTAAAAGAACACTACAAAATCCTGTGCACAAGCATCAAACACCACCGTTTTGGAGATATATCCCATACGTGATCTAAATCACCACTTTGGAAAGCAGTAAAGATCCCAAAACTTGAACAAATAAGCAAAAATGAGTGAGAGAGAGTTGAATACGGACCCCCTTTGATAACCAAACATTTGCAAAAACAAGGTTCATAGATTTTGAGTGCCGATGTTGAGAAATTAACCTACTTATTAGAGGATATATTGGAAATGTGAAAGATGAATGGACTAGCTAATTAAATACCTCATCATTGACGGTGGACTGCCACCTTAGCTGCAAAACCTGCCACCTTTCTTGTTGCCAACGCTGCCCAAGAATTACAAGGCCCATCACAGCAGCAGCAACGAAAATGGACCAAACCGCATTTGCTTCTTTCGCATGGGCATATAAGGAAGCTGCCCTTCTCCTCCACCAAGCTTCACATGGTAGATTGGATCCAGAATATTTGTCATTCTGTACAGTTTCTGGGAGCTGGGAAACATCAGCAGGTATATTCAGGCCTTCCTCAGATGACTCGCTTAGCTCAGAAACAGGGGGGGTTTCCTCATTGTAAGCACCTGATCTACCAAGTACTGTTTCACTATGTAAAGATCGTGTAGCTTCCTTGTATATGGACTGCTCCTTGTAAATTTTCTCATCAACGAACGGCATCTCTGATAATTCATCAGGTACGTTCAAATCTTTACTCCATTCTTCGTCCTTCGAACTAGATCTACCCTCTTGTAACATTTCCAATTCAGAGACTACATCCTTGCTTACACTATCTTGATGAATCTGAGTGTTTTCAGGTTCCATAGGTAAGTTCTCATGCTCACTGGGAGGGAACACAAAGTGGCTAGACATGAATAAAGCCTGTGAAGTTTCGGCTTCTGCATATGCAACAACATTGTCATCATCCTTCGATTCAACTTCTTTTGGACCAGGGGAAGCAGCATAAGCTGATGCTGTAAGTGAGACAACCTCCCATTCATTCCCCCGAGGGATATTTTCCTCTCCTTCTTCTTTATCCGACATTTTCAAGGGCTTGAAGCTTCCTAGAATTTAGAATCACTGAAAGAGTGAAAAACAAGAATAGTTCCACATCTTACCTTGTCTTTCAATCATGGGCCAAATAAACTCATACAAGACTCTTCACGATAGATTTTAAAAAATCCATATGTACAAAAGTTAAACTCTCAACCTGAAAAAACTTCCAATAGAACCATCAGACATTAGCGAGACAATCACATCTCCACTTGTTTGCTTCCTATTTAGCTTCTTTGAGTGAGGATAATAAACCAATATAATTTTTTTTTTTTTAAATATCCTAATACTTCAAACGGATAGCTTCTTTTCTTCGACAAATCTATAAAACATAAATACAGGGTTCATACAACATTCAACATCTCAAACATCTCAGTCCGCAAAAGCAAGTATATTCTTCCACGGCTTAAAAGTATCATTTATTATTGAAAAAAAAAAAATTTGTACTCCTCGAAACAAATTTTACAATTCAGAGAACGGAATTAAAGAACCAAACTGAAATATATTATCATTTACTAAATCCATATTAATCGCCTTATCCAAATCTAACTCCACGCTATCTCAACTAAAACCATCAAGCAACTCAAAGTTTAAACTACTAAAAACCCCTCAATTACTCGTCAAATAAACAGAGGCAAGCAAAAATACACACAGAAAGCAAGTGTACACAAACATGCAGATAAAAATCACCTTTTCCAATCAAAACATGATCGTGAACCGACTAAAAACCAATCAAAACATCAATCAAGACGATTTTATGCATCAGAAGAACAGAATCGATAACCAAATCCTTCTCCACAAACGCAAGGAAAGAGAAAACTGATTGTTTGACGGTACATACAGAGTAATCAAGCGAGATCTAAAGCGATAAGATCGGTCGGGGTACCGAGCCGACGACGTCCCGATGATGAGATTGCGCTTAACTTCCTCGCGATATGAGGAGAACAGAAGGATTTTATTTTATATATTGAGAACTCTCGGGTAAGAGATGAAGGAAACCGAGAGCACCGGTTTCTTTGGGCGAGAAGGGATCGGTTTAACTGGCTGTAGCAGGTGACACTGTGTCGTTTAGTGGATAATATCTGGTCGTTTTGGGGCGCTGAGAAGATGGATTACCGGTTTAAACCGCATTTATTTTATATTTATTTTGTGTTTATCTTACACCTGTTTCGTGACTTTGCGTGAGAATAGAGAGGTGTGCGCGAACAGCATCGCTAGGACCCAAATGACATTAATGATTTGTTTTGTCAACTGATTTTGCCAAGTTACCATGAGGGGTTAAATTAGTAATTATCACAAGGGATGTTTATAATTTGATACCGACCCAAAAATCATAAATTGAATAGACGGGAGTGAATTATATTTGATTCAATTTGAATTATAATGTTCAAAATTTTAATTATACAATTTTATACTAAATAAATCATTATTTATCACATTAATTTCATTACTTAATAATTTAATGAATTGCTATAATTTGTAAATTTACTATTTGTTTTGAATTTTATTAAAAAAAAAATGATATATCAAGCATTCAATTAATTAATTAGTTGTTAGTTATGTTAAAAATATTATTCAATTATTTTCATGCATTGGTATTAATTTTTTTTTTTAAATGGGTACTTTTAATATTTATTATTACATAAAATTTATTAATTGAAAATAATTGGATGTAATTTTATTCAATCACCTCATAGCATTCATGATTATTTATTTGTTCGATCATGTAAAAATAAAATTAAAAAAAAAAAACCAGCTGGGGGTGGGACCAAAATAGAACTGCATAGTTACCTTTATGTCGTGTTTTGTACTTTCTTAAATGGCAATTTCAAATGTATGATTCTTCTTTTGTAAAAAATAAAATAAAATTAAAAGTGTATCTTTTTCTTTTAATATTTGGTATTCTAGATTCTAAGACATCCCGTGATTGAGAGTTTTTCAATCCAAAAATTACATAATGGATAATTTTTTTGTGAAGATTCTTGAAATGGTATATAATTAAATTTTCAGAGAAACATTAAAATCAATTAAGTTATAAATTAATTATAATCATAATATAGTTTTTAATATGATTATATAAAAATACACTAGCTAATTTGAAACTAGTAAAAAATAAAAAATAAAAAATAACGACTATTTAGTCAAATTATAACTGATTAATGAGCTGTGAGTTTTATAAGCCCATCCGAAACAAATTTTAAGGTCGTCCAAATTACATGATATGAGCAAACGGCCACAGATCGTGGCGACTTCTAATTGGTTGAAAAAGCAAAGTCTTACCTGTGTGGCTGGTCGTTTTATACCTTCTCATTCCGTCGTTTTTGTCACAAGTCACAACAGCAAGTGGTGGTTGTGGCGGGCGCTAAATTTTATCTTGAAAAACTGGGAGGAGAACCAGCGTGGAAAAGAAGAGAGGAAAATGGGGCATCTCTACGCCTTGGACTTCGACGGAGTTCTCTGCGATAGCTGTGGAGAAAGCTCCCTCTCTGCTGTCAAGGTCATTTTCTTCCCACCTGTTTGGTTGCCGAGAAAATATTAGAATTAACAGAAACTCGACTGCTAACTGGAATTTCACAGAGCAAACAATTGATTGATGTTGTGTTTCCCTTAATTTAACCGTCAACGACTCTTTATTTTCTTCGGGATGCGTAATAGGCTGCTAAAGTGAGGTGGCCCGAATTATTTGATGGTGTAGACGCGGCCATGGAAGAATGGATTGCCGATCAGATGCACATGGTAATATCTATCACTTTCTTGTTTAATTGTTTTCTCTTTTCTCAAATTAAAACGGAGTTAAATACTTAAAAACCCTGACACTGAGAAGGGGGAGATAACGGGAAAACTGAACTGTGTTTGGAAGCTTGTGGGGAGGAATTTGAGAGAAGATTCCATGTTAGTACAGCAAAAATCAGATTAAACATGGGAATAATTTTGCTATGGTTTAAATTTTGTCTGGTACGTAGCTAATGGCTGTTGCTCGGGGTTGCTGTTAGCTCGTAGTTCTATGCTACTCTTCCTTCTCAATTATATATTATTCATTAACAATGAGCCTAGTATCTAGTTAGAGGGTAACGGGAGATTGAACGGCGTGCTTCAATTTAGTTTAGCAGAGATGATGCTATGCCCTCCGTTTGGTAGTTTCGCCCATTTTCATCAATGGGTCTGGCGAGGATGATGAGTGACAGGTTCAACTATAGCCTCCACGACAAATTATAACAATGCAATCAGTCCCAAGCATGATTAGTATATTAGTATTTTGATAACTAGGATAGTGGTCTAGCTAACTTAAAGCATGCTATTTTCTGTTAATATCATAGGTGCGGCCTGTGGTGGAAACTGGGTATGAAAATGTGCTGCTAGTGAGATTGCTGCTAGAGATGAGAATACCTGCCATTCGGAAATCATTGGTGGGTGTAAATTACATCACTTCACCAGTTGGTGGCAGTTTATATTTTTCTTCATTTTTTACTTTTTAGGATTAGGCTTGTAACTGATAATATAATTCAAAATGCAACTTGCAAGGTCGCAGAGGGACTTAATGTTGAGGGGATCTTGAATAGCTGGTCGAAGATAAAGCCTGTTATCATGGAAGCATGGGGAGAGGACAGGGATGCTTTAATTGATCTTTTTGGAAAGATAAGGGATGAATGGATGGATACAGACTTGGCAACTTGGATTGATGCAAATAGGTACCCGTTAAGGATCAAACTTGATAATTGAAACTCAAAGAAAGAAATATGGTGATCCTACCTTACTTTGCTCCAAAAAAATTTGCTAATTCACTGACTTTTTCCTAGTACTTCAAAAACTTATACTAAATCATTTCAAGAGTTACACTCATTTGAACTGCAGATCTTAGCATTCTGGGTTCAATTAGTTATAGCTTCATGCATCTGTTTCCTTACTTTTTATAGGCTACAAAGCAGTGACCAGAAATACTCAACGTATCATATGGGCTAACCAATCAAAACTTTTCTATTGAAGGTCCTGAGATTATAGCATATGAAGACTGTCTCTCATATATTCAATTATAAGGTGATTCTTTTGCAGATTTTACCCAGGTGTTTCAGATGCTTTGAAGTTCGCTAGCTCAGAGATATATATAGTTACAACGAAACAGGTGCAATTGCTTGTCCTTTTCTTCATTTCCACAATAATTAAAAATATCAGACCAAGGGCTTTGAGGGATCAATCAAGTAGGGGCAAGCAGAGCAGAAGGATTCAACTTTGAGAGCTTGAAGGAGTTTGGTAGTCTGTTCACTCTTCTGTTAGTAGTACTTTCTAATGAAAAGTGAAAATTGCAGAGCCGCTTTGCAGATGCTTTACTGCGAGAACTGGCAGGCGTAACAATTCCACCTGAAAGGATATTTGGCCTGGGAACTGGGTAATTCAATTTCATTTGGATGTTCCTGCAGAAAGCAGCAATACTGTTAAGCATTTATACTTTACATGTTTACTTTTCATAAATAATGATTCACTATTTCTTTAATATTTTTAATATCCTTGATTTTTGGATCCTCTTAACAGGCCCAAGGTTGAAGTGCTGAAGCAACTTCAAAAGAAGCCAGAACACAGGGGGCTGAAATTACAGTGAGATACCTTCCTGCTGAATAGCTAAAATTGATATTTCATTGATGAAATTTTTATCATGTTTTCTTTTGCGGAGATGAAGAAATAGTTTTTATTATTTATTAATTGGTTGCTTTCTCCAGCTCTTATTAACTTTGGATTCTGTGAGCAGCTTTGTTGAGGATCGACTAGCGACTCTGAAGAATGTGATTAAAGAGCCTGAGCTGGATGGATGGAGTTTGTATCTAGGTACCGTAATATTGCTGCTAGTCATAGTTTGTCATTTTTCATTGTCGCATTCTCTTCCATTTTTCTACCATCATTCTCTGTTAAGCATGATTCCACAGCGAAAAATACATGATTTGGCTGCTGATGTTATTTTTGCTTGAAACAGTTAATTGGGGGTACAACACTAGCAAAGAGAGAGACGAAGCAGCAAATATTTCCAGGATTGAGGTCATTGAGCTCTCTGATTTTAGTAAGAAGCTCAAATAACCACTTGATTTTCGTATTCCATCTAAAGTCGATATCAGAAACATTTTTTATTGTTCGCTTTCATTAAGATTATAGACAATACTTGATTCCAAAATTCTTTCTCCTCAGTTCATGTTAACTGTTAAATAAGTTGTCTATGAGTAACTTTATTTTATAATCAACTTGGTGGTAGGATGTGTGACTTGCAAATAGCTTATGGAATCAATGCACCACGTACCCATTACTATGGCGTCCACTGAGGCAAATCTATAAGCTAATAGTTTAGATTTGGCTCGATTAAAACTCCAATAAAGGTTACTTTGAAGCCAATTTATACTATAGAGTCAAGTTCAAGTCTGGCCATGAATACTTGATTTCGAATGAAACATGCTCATTTGAAATCGCTCATTTGAAATCAAGCTCAAGTGCAATTGAGCTTTGTACTAATCAATTCCAAATATTATTTGAGTTTGAATTCCAAAAAAAGGAATCAAATAGGATTTTGAGTTTAGTAACATTAAGCTAAAACAAATTAAGTATTCAAGTATTTGGCTTGTTTTCACCATATTCCTACACTTAAACATATATGATAAAATGATAGAAGGACTGGAAACCTCTTTCCTAATTAGAGCAGAGCAAGCATACTGGGCTTGCTGAGTAATGTGATAACAGTGACAGAGTGAAGAGAAGCTCTAAAAAAAACTTACTTAACTTGAAGGAGAAGGAATCTCTAGGTTAACAAAATGTAGGAGACAAGGAGAGTGCTCGGCGATGGGATTAGTATCATCTGCTCTGTTGTTTTCTGAGCATGAGCATCTTGATTATGAGTTGTAGTTAATTGGGAAACTTTTCATTTCTCAGTCCTAGATACTACAGGATGATGACAACATTATGCATTGACTGCAAGTTAACTACAACTCATCATTAAGATGCCCATCATCATGTTTGAGATTAGTATCGTCTGCCTTGTTATTCTCAGCATGAAGTTTCTCAAGGACGACTTCCAATGGAGGATCTCCAGGTCTTCGGAAAGCTTTTTCCCCAATCTTCACCTCATAAGCCTCCGGTTGACTTAATAGGAAGTCCTTCAACTGGAATACCAAAAGAGAATATGAGAAAAAGAAGATCCGGGCTGTAAAATAAAGTAGTTCATATAAGATGGATTATAAGGTGTTTGATTTAGTTTAGTATAAAAGAGCTTGTAAGCTCTTTACTAGCCCAGAACTTTAAGCTACTAAACTATCTATATAATTACTAGACCCAATAAAAATGTTTTAAGACTTAGAAATATTGAAGTTTGCTGGTAGCATTATTTGTTAGTTAATCCATGCCAAGATTGTTTTAGGAAACAATACAAGTTCCATAAACATAACTATTCCTTCTCAAATTTTTTAAAATGATATGATGTAAATATGCTTGTTTAGAGATATAGAAATCTCATAAATCATTTTTTTTGTTTTGGCTATCACCATCAATTTGATTATCTATAGTCAATCACATGATTATATTTTGTTATTATTTTTCCGGAAATACAATAACAATTGTAGAGTTGAAAGTTAATACTAACAAAAAATAGTCAAATAAGAACAAAAAGCTTTGATCTTTTTACTATATATGGGCATATTCAATCTCTTGAGCTCTCTGATAGACCAAATAACCAGAAACTTGCTTGTGTAAGAGTAAGGTAGACAAAGCAGAGGCATATGATATGTGAATTTGGAATAAACGAAATACCTCAAAGGTGTCTTGACCTTCTTCCATGTTGAACATAATGGTAGAGCGATCAACACCCATGAACCTCACCCCAAAAGCTCCCGTTCTCAGAATCTGAGTCCACTTCTTAGCAATCTCACCTACCATGTCCTGCAAACAACAACACCTCTTTCTCTCACCAACTACCCTCTATTCTCCATTTTACATCTAACAACACCAATTTCCATTTAATCGATGATTCTCGAATCGGAAAATCAACTAACAGACCGTAATGTCACTTACCGGAGTGCGTTCAACACCAAACCGGAGCTTAACGAACCCGAAAATCGGCCCCGTAGTCCGCTTCATCATATCGGTCTGAATCTTCTCAATGTCGAAATTAGAAAAATCGGGTGGGGGACCGAGGTTTACGGAGGTGGTTTTTTTCCCCCATTCCTTCCAAGCCTCGTCTTCTTCACCGTCGACAACGTCGTCGAGATCGTCGGTGATTTCGATCCGCCGCTTGCCTGCCTCCGCCAATCGAACCAATCCGGCATTTGGAAAAACGATTTGGGGGAGGATGAGAAGGACGAAGAGCGTCAAAATTTTCATGGCGTTTTCTTTCCGTGTTTTTTTTTTTTTTTCCTTTCGATCCGTTAAGGAACAAGTGTTATGGATTTTCGGTTAAGTGGTGATGCCTGCGTGAACAATAATAATAATAATAAATAAACAATTATTTATGACGATAATAATAATAATAATACACTTTTTTCTTGATATCTCTATAATATATTACAAGGTATAATATCAGAAATTTTTAGAATTTTGAGTCCAATTATAACATACTTTATTACATTGAAAACGTTATGTTACAATGTCTTTATTTTTAATAAATGTAGTAATTCAACAAAATTCACTTATTACATTCAATAAAATTACCCTTAAAACACAAGTTTAATTTTATTTTTCAATAATATATGATAAATTTGAGAAAATGAAAAAAAAAAAAAAATTAACCAGATTAAGAGAGAAAAATTAATCTGCAAAAACTTAATCAATTACAATTTTTCAAGTTCTTTTTTCATGTGTCATTTATAGAGAAAAAATAATTTTATATTTTGGTAATAATTCTAACATTTGTTAGCTTATTAACTGGATTGTATTACTTATCCAATAACATAATCAAATTACACTATATATTCTTATCATAATCAAATATTTTATGATAAATTATTAAATTATTTATACGCAGTTTATTATAATTATTTTATTAATTTATATATTCTTGTTGTGTATATATATATATACACACACACACAAAAGTAGCCTACCCAAAGTGCCCATAATATTCTCAAAGTTAGCAAACAAACATAATCAAATGACCTTCCACTGCATTGCTCGTTTCGTGCGGCCAAGAGTCAGGTGCTGTGCCATGTTTACGTCAAACAGCTGTCACTTTAAATTTTACGTATTAATAAAAATTTTATCATTTGAAATTTGATGTAATTAATAAATATGTCAAATCAAATCATTAATAATAAATTACATAAAAATAAAAATCATTAGACTTTAGATAATTGTATAGAATAAAAAATATTAAGCTGAGTTTGGTCTGACGCATGAAAAAGTTTAATTTATGCACGTGCAGGGAAAAAATCAACAGTAGTCAACAAAGGTAACTGTAAAAAAAGTTTTAAACATTTATAATTTTTATATTTATTAATATAAACAAAAAAATTAAAAACAACCACAGTATTCACAAAATGTAAAAGACTTTTTTTTTTAAAAAAAAAAAAAGCATTAAATAAAAATATTTACTAGGAAATCAAACCGTTTTTATGATTTACAAAAATAAGAAATTGCCATAATAAGCCATAACGTGGTCCATGAGAATATAATAAAAATGAAGTAAAATCCAATTCAATACAAATTAATAAGTGGAAAATGTCGTATTGTATTGTTTTATTCTTCTTTTAAGAATATAATAAAAGATCTCATCAACTCCACCCCATAAGCTAATGGAATCTGTCGTATCTGTCAAGTAATAGAAATGGAATCTTATCGTTTGGCTACTCTCAAATGGCAGCATCATGTATGTATATATATATATATATATATATGTTATAGTGATGACAAATAAAGTCCTTAAGCCTAATTGATTGAATGTTTTCTCAAGAAATCATCATATTCGTTAAGAATTAATTAAACAAATACTACTTTGTAACTTATTGTACATTTTGCTCCTTTATTGCATATTGCATTGATTCTTTTAATTTTGTACAAATAATAATAAGTCATATTATGAATAACGGATGTTTGTAAATTTAAA